CGTAGACTTTACCTTCAAGGCTCAATATCGTAATGCCCCTATAATTTGAGCATTCCTTGTGGTCTTCCTTCTTGAATACGAGCACAATAACTCCCGTTCTCCAGTCCGCTGGTGTCTGTCCCGCAGTCATCGCAGTCTGACAGACAGCTGTAAGCCAGCACATGCCTTGTTTGCCCAATACCTTGACCATCTCAGGGCGGATGTCGTCTATTCCGGCAACTTTTCCATTTTTCATACTTTTCACAGCTTGTGTAATTTCATCTACATAGAGGGTGATATCCGTTCCCGGATGCTCTACAGGCGAGTCTTCCTGCCGTTGCGCGGGGTTAAGGTGTTCCTCAAAGTACCCCCTCCATCAGCAAAGAATGTCGTCATCTTTGATACGACTGTGTCCAGACCTGTGCTTCAAGACTCTGACACTACCCCTTTTTTTTCCTCAGAGGCAGCGGAAAGTCTGCCAGAATACTTTGTTTGTCGTGTGAAATTGGACTCCAGCATCTCACCGAACTTCTCCGAGGAATGAGCTTTGGCTTTCGCCACTACTTTCACTCCTGCCTTGCTTGCCTTTACATATCGCACGCGAGTTGAAGGTTCTTTGTTTACAATCCATTTCTTGAACACCGCCTTCTTCTCTTTAACTGCTAGTTGCACTTCTCGTATCCACCATGAAGATCTTCTCTGACTTCCAGACGGCGGGCGATCTCCTTTAAATCCGCAGCATTCGGCGGCAGCCTCGAGTATGCCGCTCTTAAAGAGCTGCCACTCGGTTTCAAGATCAGTTGCCATCACTGGAATCTGTTCAAACCGTCATGCGATGTTTTTGCAAATTTCGCTCTCGGTTCCACCAAAGATAACGTTTCTCATTTGATTCTCTGGTTGCTTCTGCCACCAGATCTTCGTATGTTGCTCCATTTCTTACAGCGCAGGGTGCCAGTAGCAAGGTGAAGATCGGTTGGTAGCTCTGCGTTGTTCCAGAAAATATCTTCGGCTCTTCCTGCCATCGATCTGGAAGATTTGCTAGAGGTTTCTTACCGTACCTTGTAACCGAGTACAATATCTCGTTGGTCCAAAGACGGTCAGCTCTTCCCGCAGCGCATTCGTTCTCAGGCTACTTGAATTTGCAATGAATTGTTGAGATATAGTAGTCTAATGTTCATGCTGCTTTCAATTTGCCTGTTTTATTTCGTTTTGTTATTCAAAAACAATCTTTTCCACGCTTGTTGCATAGGTTCCTGTTTGTGAATAGCTTTAACGTATAAGTTCCATATTTCATATTCATATGGGCATATTTCTCATGACCAGGAAGCACTGGGCAGAGACCTTCTGTTCCATGCACAGGGATAGTTTCGCGGATAAGAACATTTTCATTCTACCGAATATATCCAATGCGAGTTTTACTCCACTGTTCATTTTGTTAAAATAATTCTCCGTTGTACAGGCCAGCTGTTCAATATAGACTAGTTCTGTGCACCTTCAAGTCGAGGCCATCGCTTTCAATAGCCCCGATTTCACGTATTTGTTAGCCATGACCTGAGACTTCTTTCGGCTGATCTTCGAACATGCTTTGATGCAGTGGCTTCGTTCAGCTTCAGCCTTTGATACTTCTCTAAAGCGTTTATGGAAATTTTGAGAGGATCAGAATATGAGCGAAAAATTGCAGATGGCTTAAGCAGTTGTTCTTGTATTTACACATGCTGATTTTCCGAACGAGTGCCTTGTAAACCTTTTTCAATGCTGCGTGAATAATTTTAGTGATGCGGCGTCATCCTGTTGGACACCGCTCTCGATTTTGAGTTTTTCCGCCAAGCTCCATACTAGTCGTTGCATTGTTGAAGTGACTGTCGTCTTTTTTGACAATTCTTTTGTTGATTCCCTGGCTGCTCAAGGCATCAAACACAGTCCGTTTGTAGACTGAGTCTTATATCAACTGAAGTGAAGTCAACGGTCTCAGGCAAAGATATTACTGCTGGTCTGTGTTACTTGTTGTACCACTTAAGGATGATCCAGCGTGCTGAAGCTAGTTCTGAATCCTGCTTGCTCCTTTGGTTGTTCGAAGTCAAGGCTCTGTTGAGGGTTTTTCGTCTGTGCCTTCGTGAAGCTCTTGTGAAGGATTGACAGTAAATTGATCATCCATAGCTCCTCAGATTCGTTTTTTCTTCACTTTGATGCAATAGAATCGCCTTTGCTACGCCATTGCATTGATTCTGCGAGTGCTACTGTAGTACCGTCTTCGTCAGGAGCCCCAATTCTTTTTGTCTGCTTTACTGCATATCGTATTACTTCCGGCGAGATATCAGAATATACTTATTAGAATGTGCTAGCCAAAATCTAACAGGTCGCTTATTACCTAGGTAAAGGATAATCTGATCGGCAACATGGTGAAAAGTCTGGGACTACTGTGAGTATGTTTATCTGAGGAGGAGAACATGAAAATGGCGTAGTCTTCCGTGTGACAAGAGAGTCATATTAACTGAATTGCAGTTAAAACCTAATAGTGTGCTGAAATTCTCTATTAAGAAACAAACGAAAAGAGTGCACCACCCAAGTATTAGTGAATCTCTTGACTCACCGATGTTACCTATCCAGGGACCTCAATGACGTGCTTATTTGCAATAGGTGAGGTAGTTTTTCGAAGCTTGGCATCAGTCGCGCATAAATCAAGTGCATGGCTCGATGACACACAGTTGCATCGTCTATTAGGTAATAGATCATTGTTTTTTTTCGTTTGTGCACCACTGTTTTGGTTAACGACGCGTGAATTAGATGCTTGAATGCCAGCCAACAATAATTGAACAGTTAACCGAGAGAACTTGAACATCATTGAAACAGTAAGAATGCGAAAAATCAGCTAGGGCAGACGAAAGCAGCAAAAAGCGAACAAGTTCATTGATGCCCACCGCTTCTGTAAAGCTGTTTATTTGTTCGAAACGGAATAGAAGAGCATAAGACAATCACGTCCAAGGTCGGTTCTGTGTTTAAATAATCGTCGAGCCATCTGTTGATCGTCGTAGCGAACCAACCTCACTGTTAACTTTATTTATTTATCGTGCATTCACCGAAGTTGAGCATGTGGCATGTTTGTGCAGTTCTTTGTCGATTTGTGTGCATGAAGAGACTGGGCCTGCAATGCGACGACGACTACTTGGCATGCAGCACAGCGAGAGTCGTTCAAATCTGTGTTGACGGACTGACTCTGACTGACTGACGAGCGACTAACCGATTGACTCACCGTCCGTCTGTCCGTCGGTCGTTTATTTAATGAACAAATTCGAAATGATGGCAGTTACTACTTCGGTGTTGTTTCTGGCTCTCCACCTAACGTGGTCCGCTGAATCACTGAAGGTTCTGTTGTTCATGCCGGAAATGAACGACGAAGTCCTGGAGTCATTAAATATGTTTGCCGTAAACCTGATCTCACGCAACCACGAGGTTACCACCTTCCAGATGGTAGTTGTTCCGGAGCAAAGACAGCGTTCGATAAATGAGCTCCCTGTGCAGGTCACTGAAATCAAGATCGATGCTCAGCAACCTGTTCCAACTCGGTTTTGAAACAGCTAGGCAATCGTGCTCCGTGGTATTCGGACTTCAAGGAAGAATTCGATACCGATCTTTTTTACGAAGTGCACCTGAACGTCTGTACGAGACTGTTGCACAGCGACACGCTGGACCGGCTGGCCAGCGTCCACTTCGACGTGGCTCTTGTGTACGCTGGCAATCCATGTATTCTAATGCTGGCGCACGCCCTGTCACTGCCCTTCATCTACTATGACAAGAACGGTTTCTCTGACGAAATAGTACGTGTATACTACTATTTAATAATGTTCCCTCTTAGCCACTGACCATAGTGCCCATTTTCATATAGGCATACGCTTCAGGATCGCCTTTGCTTGTGGACCTCGTGCCATCTGGCAGATCAAGATTCGCTCCTTCGATGTCTGTTACGGAGGCCATGAACAAATTTTGGTACCACGTGCGAGAATACAGCTGTGTCAGTGACCGATGGCTGGCTAGGACGATTTTGTGCCCAAGGTGGACCTCCTTCGAACGTCGCATCATGAAGCTGTTCGCCTCCAACCACCAGCTAAAGACGAGGTTTACTAACTTTGGTGACGTCAGCGAGATCAAGCAAAGAGCCGCTGTTTACTTTGTAAACAGTGACCCACTTGTCGAGTTTGCTGGCCGAGTGACCTCTGGCCGCATTGTGTACGTTGGAGGAATTAATCAGGTCGCTCCTCAACCTCTACCCGAGGTACGTTGCTCATGCTTTTTCCGGATGTCGAGGTGTGTGAGCAGAAATCCGCCTATTCCTTTTCTATCCTCCTTAATTGCATTTACTATTGCGTCATTTAATTTATATCATATTAATTTTTACCAGAATTTGTATTTGTGAATTTAGAGGCGTTTAAATCAGAGGCACTGAAATCTTCATTTTGAATTACCTACATGCATATTTAGTCTTCCTTGTTTCATGGCATTCTAGTGGTTCTAATCGTTTTCGTCATTTAATTCGTATTTACCTAATGTCTTTTTACCGCACGAATGTTGCTTTACATCTTCTGCGTCTTCAAGAATATTCACAAAAAGTGACTATTGAATTTTTGCTTGTCCTTTTAAATGGCTTTATTAGCTGCATAGTGTATAGTTTTCCAGAGATCAGACAGAATTGGACATCAGCACCATACTATCAGTTTCCTGAAAAGAACGGACATCGGAATGATGCAATCATAAAAGCATAAGGTAGAGCGGCATTCCAACGATTACAAACTGTAGTTCTTTGTTCTTTTTTTCTTTTTCTCCAACACCTAATCTCGCGACCTGTTGCACAGCCAGCTTGCTCCTATTTGCTTAGGCGACCGTTTAAGCAGGCCACGGCACAGCTCTATGGCATTTGAGCGCCCTGCAGTGCTCTTTTGCATTTTCATGCGCGTTCTGTTACAGCACGTGCTAACGCATTGATTTCTTGACGCTTTGCTCTGTATTTGTACTATTCTAGAAATTGGCGTTTTTCAAAATATCAGACACAGCTGAAAAAGGCTAATGGAAAAAGTTTAGGAAAAGAACATTCACTAAAGGCCTGCGTTTTTCAGTGACAACTTCCAACAGTTTCCGGTCGTCTTTCTGAAGTTCCATGAGCTTAATGCACCCTTGTGGCCGTATTGTTTTTCGCGTATTTCTGCTACAGTAAATTTACCGACTATATCACACAGACGATGAAAACATCATCGGTTTGAAAGGTTTCGTTTCTTACCGTCTTGATCGCGCAAGAGATTCTCGTCTGCCTGGTAGGGGTCTACTTTCTTTACCCTGCTTGTTACGTTGTTTTGCATTTGCTCATTTGTTATACCCAGTTTTTGGAAACCTATCATATGACTTAAAGTTCACCTAAGTAAATTAGTTCACTTAACCGACTGACTTCTTCACTTTAGGGCTTCCTTGTGCTCATTGTGCTCATCGAGGTCTCAGGAGCTGGTACTTCTTATAATATCATAAGCATTCATATAGGTATCGGTATAGGAGATGTTAAGTCGAGAAGGTTGCTGTTTGCAGACGACCTTGTTTTATTAGCATCT